CATTTTGTGTCAACTTCTGTTAGGCCAAAGATAAAAAAATGCCAAGATATTACTTGAAACTTGGAACTGCTTTATCACAAATGGTATTTTAAATCTAATTTTATTATATACAAATAAATACATCGATTCTATTTCAAGTTGGTTTTCATGAGAAAAAGATGCTAACAAATAGACAAAACCAAATGGGAAAGTATTTTTAGGCTTCATATCTAGCTGGTTTACATCGCAGCAATCAGCCAAATTTGCAGGACTTATTTATGAGCTAACAATGGTAGTGGGACTGAACTTTTTAGACTTTCAATATCTTTATGGAGATTTAAATTTATTCATAATTGTATCAGGTGATGACAAACTTACTCAGTTAGAATACCTGAAAATGGGCATATTAGCGGTTGTGGGACACATTTTCTCAGCATTTGTAAAAAATTGTTAATTATGTTTCTGTATGGAACAGAATGTAACAATAGACGAAATGTTACCTGGATTTAGTGGCAAATATAGATTTAGACAATACATTCCAACCAAGCCCAGTAAATATAAAAACTTTTGCTGTAGTTGATTCAAAAGTATTTTACACAGAATTATCTTGAAATATAAGCTGGTAAGCAGCCCGAAGGTCCTTACTTGATTAGTCGTAAACCGGCAGATCAAGACACTTGCAGAACCCATTTCCTTATCAAGATGTAATATTATAGCAAATAAATGAATAAAATTTGCTGACGTAAATTTTATCTCTGATTTGAAAAAGAAGCAACTTTCATATGTAGGTACTGTTTGTAAGAATAAACCCCAACTTTCCCTTGAATTTGTGTCTTCTAAAATAAGGTCCCCAAAAATCTAACTTATTTTCTTCTGGTGAATATTTGCTTTTGGTGTAGATTACACCAAAAAAGGAAAAAATGTAATTTTAGTTTCAAGTAGGCATTTCAATGACACCATAAATTTAGATTCATAGAAACCTAATATAATAAAACATTACAACCAAACAAATCAGAAATTGACACTGTGGACCACATAATGAATACATATAATCTGAATATTGCAGGAATAAATGTTCAGACTATTGCTATGCTGAACAGCACTGTGAAAATAAGGCACAGAATATTTAATAGAAATTTCATAATGAGGTTAGTGTTAGAACATATAAAAAGGTGTTCAGAAATCTCTACAGGTATACATAAGCCTTTATACCTGAAACTTCAATTTCAAACACAAATTTAAAGAAATTCTAATGACAACATATACACAACTCCCTCAACAAGCAGAAAAAGAAAAAGATGTGTTAGGTGCATCCAAAACAAGTTGTTTATCAAAATATTTTTGCAAGTTTTGTGAAAAGTATTTACACCTTGAGCATAGCAATGTTGTTTGTGATGACTGTTACAAATGTTTTGCAAAGCCAGCTATTGAAGCTTCTGATTAATTAATGGTAAAGACATTTTGGTTGTATTTTTAGCAATATCTGTGTTTTCATTATTTGAAAAGAAAAAGTTTTATTCTTTATGTTTCTAAATTTATTTAATAATTTCTAGATTGTAACTGAAAATAAAAAATTCATGTATTTTATTATACAAATATAATACAAATTTGCAGTGCTTTAAATACTTTTTTCACATGAACACATACTAGTAATGAATGTGTCGCTCTGATACAGGCAACCTACGCTGTAATTTTTTTGGCTGCAATCTCCACAGAGTCAACTACATTCTTCAGTATCCTCCTCTACCTCCTCCTCCCTTCTCCTTCTTAAAGCAGATCCTTTAACATCTCTTTTAACATTTGCTTGGTGGTAACAAACTCCTTTAGCTTTTTCTTGTCTAGGAAGCTCATTATTTTTCCTTCAATTTTAAAAGATAGCCTTACTGGGTAAAGTAATCTTGATTATAGGTCTTTGCTTTTAATCATTTTATTTCATATCATCCCTGCTGGCCTGAAGTGTTTCTGTTGAGAAATCAGCTGATAGTCTTATGAAGCTCCTTTGTAGGTAACAAACTGTCTTTCTCTAGTGGCTTTTGAGATTCTCTCTTGTCTTTAATCTTTTCTATTTATATTATGATGTGTCTTGTTTCAATCTTCTTTAGGACTCTTTGCACTTCCTGGACTTCAGTATCTTTTTCCTTCACCAAGTTAGGGAAATTTTCAGTCATTATATCTTCAAATAGGTTCTTGATCCCTTGCTTTCTCCCTTCTCCCTCTGATACCCCTGTGATGCAGATGTTGTTATGATTCATGTTGTCTCAAAGGTCCTTTAAACTTACCCTCATTTTTTTAAATTATTTTTTCTTTATGCTCCTCTGATTGGGTGTTTTTTCTACCTTGTCTTTCAAATAGTTGATTCAATCCTCTGCTTCATCCAACCTACTATTTATTTCTTCCTGTGTAATCTGCATTTCAGATACTGTATTTTTCACTTCTGTCTGATCCTAGTTTATGGTTTCTATTTCCTTTTTCATGCTATTGACCTACCTTATAACCATTACTTTGCACTCTATATCTTATCAGATATTGCTTGCCTCCATTTCATTTAGCTCTTTCTCTGTAGAATTGTCCTGTTATTTCATTTGGGGCACATTTCTTTGTTTCCCCATTTAGGTTGCCTCTTTGTGTTTGTTTCTTGGTATTAGGTAGATCCACTATGACTCCTAGTCTTTTTAGGGTGGGCTTATATAGTAGGTGTCCTGTGGGATCCAGTGGAGCAATCTTCCTGATCACCTGAGCTTGGTGCTCTAGGAATGTCTCTTGTGCATGTTATGGAGACCTTCCTGTTGTTGAGTCTTGGTTGCTATTGGTTCATTTGTGTGTGGAAATGACCCTCAGTCTTACTGACTGTGAGGCTCAACCTCCAACTCAGTGTGCAAGCTGCTATGCAGGTTCTGATCACAAGAAGCAGAATTTGCCTCAGAAGGTTTTAGTGCTTATAATATCTCTCTGTGGAAATGCCGCTTGTGAAGCTTACTGAATTCTGTTCTGTTGTTGTCTGAGGCTGGCCACTGAGTGTGTTGCTTCTGGGTCTGTTTGGAATGACTCTGATGCAGACCTATCAAATGCTGCCTGTTGACCAGCCCTGGACAACCTGTTTGGAGCTGTCAGTGATCCACAGCATATGGCTCCCTCTGCTAGGTCTGGATGCATGCAGAAAGAACTAAGCTGCATACCAACTCTGGCTTTTACCAGCAACAAACTGGGTGCAGGTCAGCAAAAGTCCCAAACACCCTGAGATCTGTCTCTGCCTGCCTTCACCTGTTGGCTACCTGTTAAATTTTTTTTACCCTCACCTGAGGGCATTTTTAAAATTGCTTTTAGAGAGAGAGAAGTGAGAGATAGAACATTGATGTGAAAGAAATATTGACTGGTTGCCTCCTGTATGCACCCAGATCAGGGTTCATACGTGCCTGGACCCAGAATCAAACCTGAAACCTAGGCATCTGCTCCAACTGGGAATTGAACCCACAACCTTTTGGTTATGGGATGATACTCCAAGCAACTGAGCCATATCAGCCATGGTTATTGGTTGTGTGTTAGGCTCAGTCACTGAAAGAGCTTCTGGCTATACTCAGCAGAGTGTAAGCTCCACAGGGTGGTACTACTGCTTTGACGCAGAAAGATGGTGTCTGTGATATGGAAAAATGATACAACATAGAAATTCTGGAGGCTGACCCTTCAGCTCTTTACCCAGATCTTCAAATCTCAGACTCTAATCACATGACTCTAGTCCATGCTGCCTTCCCTCCACTGCAGCCTAGGTTGAGTTGCTATGAATGAAATTTTTTGCACTAGTCCTTTAAGAGGGTGCCTGTGTTTCTAGCTATCTTTCATCGGCAGACTGAAACCCTGCTGCTTTTCACAGCCAGATCTTTTGTGTATGCCTCTTCTTAGTTCTGGTGCTCTGAGCTGGGGAGCCTAGCTTGGGGTTTAGACCCCACAATTCTCAGGGTGAACCCCCCCCTCTTTCCTCCAGGCTGAGTATGCCCCAGAACCCCAGCTACCACTCACGGGAGTGGGCCAATCCTTTTTGCATCTCCACCCTTCCTAGTAGTCTTGATGTGGCTTCCTCTGTAAATCTTTGGTTATGAGGCCTCTCTTCAGGTAGTTTTCATTGGTTACTCTGGATGATTATTCTGTAATTTACTTATAATTCCAGTTTGGTCCTGGGACGTGAGCGTAGCTTCCACCTACCTTGTTGCCACCTGAAATCTCTCCTAATTTCTTCTTTGCCCATTCTCACTGAGTTCAGATTCAGAAACCTGGTTTTCAGATTGCCTGGCCTGGCAGAGAACAGTGTTACTGGTCTTGCACCATCATCTACAAACCACAGGATCATTCATGACAACAAAGAAGCATCAACAAGGCTCCCAGAGCACCTGCCCTGTGGTGGGAGAGGACAAACATACTTTCCTGGGACTGAGAGAACCAAGCACTAAACCAGTGGTCACCAAACGAAACCACAACTGCCCCAAATCTACTATGCTCTAACTGTAGAGACCTAGTATTTGTATGAGAAACAAAATTCAGGAGTGGAAGACAGGGAGAAAACAGGTTAATGAGTATATGGAGTGTAATTCTAGGGAAGGTTTAGAACCCTTCAGTGACATTGTTCTCACTGTACTATGATGAGGAAAGAGAGAGGGTTCTCTTATTGGAACATAGTGTATCTCACATTGGGAAGCCATAGTGAGGAACTACCATAGAATCATCATAAAACCCCTATGAGGTGGGCACCCATTTCACAGATGAGGAGCCTGAGGCTCAGAAAAGGTGAGTAACTCATCCAGTGAGATACAGCTAGTTAGGAGCAAGCCAGATCAGCTCCAAGATCTGTGTGGTCCTAGAATCAAAGTCACACAGCCTCCCACTTATACAAATGAGTGTGAATGCCCCGAGCAACTGCTAAGGCTCACTGTGGTGACAGAGTCAGAAGAGTCAGATCTGTGAAAAATGCTAAAGGTCAGAGAGTAATAGTAGTTAGTGCTGTGGTTTAAGATTTAATTATGCCATTTTACCTGATAATCAGACCAGAACTTCCTCAGTTTGACAGGAGTGGAAGATTCCAGAAAGGAAGTGGGTCCATGATTGAACAGGCCAAGCTGGAATTCCTCAAGACTCACTCTGCCATCTCGGTCTTCATCCAGTTTGTTAAACAGGTCCTCTAGTTCCTAAATGAAAGCCAACACATCTCTGCTCTGAGGTTCTACCCACAAGCAGCTGGATGCCAGCTACAGTCACCCAGGCTCACCCATCCACCCTCTCACCCTCCTACTCACCCTCCCTCTTCAAGCAGGGCAGTTTGCTTTTCCTCATCCAAACTCAAACTGTTGGGTCATACCTAGCCTCCCCAGGCTCTGGCTTATGAAATCTAAATGTCTGGTAAGTTTCCATCCTGCTGTGAATGAGTACCACCTGAACTTCCTAAATTCCACAAATATGCATTCAGTGTCTAATGTGGCAGGAACCTGCTAGAGGATAGAAAATATGTATATATGCAACATGGCCTGGGCCCCCAGAGTTTCAGGGTCTAACAAGGGCAGCAGGGCTGGGGAGGACTTTAGCAAGGATGAGATTGCCCTATGACCATTGTTCGTTCCTCCTCCTCCTCTTGGTCTCTGAAGAAAAAGGAGAGGTGTAGTTAGGTTCTGAGAGCATCATGTCTGGCTTGGTAGTAGAAAAAAGCCACACAGGTAGGGGGAAAATGTGTTTATAGGTAGAAGAAGAATCCTGAGTGAAGGTGCTTAGAGTCTGATAAGGCTGGGGCCACAGGCCGTCAGAGATAGACCCTTAAGGATGCAGACTTCAGCAGAAGCACTAGCCGTCATCAAAGAAGATTAGGTCAGAAGATTAGACACAATTGAATCAGTGTCTGCAAGGTAAAGGGATTTTCCAAATCAAATATCAACCATGACCACTGCAAAGAACAAGTCATTGAGGGTGATCTGTCCTTGACTCTCTTACCTCTTTCTTGAGTCCCTGGAGCCCGATGCTCTGGCAGACCAGAGCCAGCTCTTGCTTGTTGAGGTGACCACTGCTGCCAACACCTAGTTCTTCCCAGATGTCCTGGACCTGGCTCTCAGGGGTGTCAAAGGGGGAGGTGCGGGACTTCTGAGTGCACCCAAAGACCCTGGAACCCCAGGTTGGCAGCTGGCCTGAAGCAGAGGGAGTAACAGGTAAACCCACTGCTCCAGGTAAAAGCACAGAAGGGAAACACACCTGCTGGTACATTACTCTGAAATCAGATTGACACAGGTGAGTAGCAAAGCAACAAAAGTGAAATCTAGGTAGTAGGTACATGAGCATTCATAGTACATTCTGTCAACTCCATTCTGTGTTTTTAAGTTTCATAATAAAACTCTCTGCTCCATGTGGGGAAAACTTTTTCTGAAGGGAACCTACTAAAGTTGCACCATTGAAAGCACATAAAAGAGGGCTGCATTATTTGTATACACAATAACAAAAAAAATTTTTTAGAAACTTTTCAAACCTACCCAAAGTAAAGAGCATAGTCATTGAATCTCAGTGCACTTGTCACTGAGGCTCTGTGAGGATAAAAAATTTGCCATGCTGACTTCAACTATTCCCTTTTTGCTATTGCTGAAGTACTTAAAAGTAAATCCCAGATCTCATGTTTTTACCCCTACTTATTTAATATTTAGTATGTATTTTGGAAACATACGGACATTTTCTTACATAACCATAATGCCACTATCATACCTAACAAAGCCAACAATTTCCCAACTGTCTCAAAAATGTCTTACAGTTGACTTGTTCATTAAACAGTGCCTTTGGTTGTTATTTCTCTTAAGTCTTCCAATCATGAGGACCTCTCCTGTCCCCTAACCTTTAGCACTTTTGTGTTTAAGAAACCAGATCAGTACTTGCTCTATGGGATGTTCCCCCTATCTGGATTTGTATGTTTGCTTCCTCATGGTATCACATAACCTGTTCCTCTATCCCTAATATTTCCTGTGAACATGAAGTTAGCATCAAAGACTAGTTTGTAATTTGGATTCAGGCTCATTTTTTCTTGGCAAAAACACTCCAAAGATTAGGCTGTGTACCAAGCACCAACTCACATCGGGAGGTGCAAGTGCCTTTCAAAGCAAAGACTCATCAGTGGGTTTGGGTGACGGCCAATCCTCATAACTTCCCTACTTTAGCCAGTTGGTTTACTAATGGTTTTTGAAGCTTTGTCAAAGAAACAACTTATGGAAGAGGACGTATGTCAGTGGTGTCCACAAGAAACTATCCATAGATGAGCTATGCTTTAAACCAGAAATTCGCCTCTACAATCAGTCCAACACAGAAAGAGGGCCGCTTCTACCTAATTCAAACTTCGGTTCTATGGCAGTAGTCTGTACTTTTTAGGTATATGAGCCACCTTGGTGTTTTTTACTTTAATAACCCAGCTAACAACCAGAAAAACACTTTCCCTAAGGAAAGCAAGGCCTATAAGTTCACAAATGTTGCTGCAGGTTGGGGCTAAAGAAAATGCAAGGAAAGAACCAGGCAGGAAAGGGCCACATGTGGGATTTCTTCCAACTTAAAATTCCTAGGAAAGTTTCAAAGAAATTTTGATATGGGGGTTTATTTCTCAAGGGTACCAGAGGATGTAAATAAATTTTTCGAGGTTTGACATGAGTGTTCATGCACTGCTATTGGTTCTAACTCAGATGGAAAAGTTTCTGTTCAAAGTTGGAAAGAAACCAACCTGCTCTATGGGCAGAGAGCAAGTACCAAATTGTTCCGTGAATAACCCATCCCAGAAGCCCTTTCTTAGACTCTGAGTCTAAAGAGATTAATACATGATGAGTTGGCTGTTCTTCCAAACATTCAGCAGCACAGATGGATGTTCAGGTTAGTTGCCCTGAATTCTACAGAAGTGAATGTTGAACAAACAATGGTCCTGTGCTTGAGGAACACAATCTAGAGGTTGTCAATACCAACTGCTGATATTCTGTTGCAGCAGAAATTCAAGGTCAACTCTGGTATCCCTCTCTCTAAGCCAAGTTTTTGCACTCTGTCTTGTGGCACATCACAAGCCAATGTACGCTATTTGCTTAAATATACTTGCTACTGCTTTCTGGTTGCTTCTGTAAGGTTCCCAAAGACCGGAGCTATGTCTTGCACTCTATATGGGGCACAGACAGGTCGCCTAGAGGATGGCAAAACTATTCACTCACAGGAGGGGAGAGGCTGCACCCAGTCCTATGCATCAGGAAGGGGGCAAAGGGCCTGACCTGGGAGCAGTGGGTTTTAGACTCCAGGGCCACACCTGCCAAGTAACATCATGCTGGTCCCTGCAGACTGTGAAATGTGACAGAACCACACTGCTTCCTTAGCCAATGGACTCTACCTTAGGGTCTGAACTCAGGTGATACTGAGGTCAGAGTGACAGCCTCATAGCTAGAACCACCCTCAAGAAGAAGCCCACCATGGACACTGCCCACATTACACGCTTCCAGGAAATTATACTTGGCTGGCTCACTGTTCGACGACCAAGCCCCTGGAGCTTTTAGAGCACTGGTGAAAGGCAGCACCAATCATGATGCTACAACTTTACCTTTTGCTTCAAACAACTCATTCTGAAGTTCTTTAGAACTTTCAACTTCTTCATCTGACTTGAAACTCTGCGGAAAAATGGAAAAAAAAAAAAAAAAAAGGACATGAATCCCTCAGAGGATGTGGCAGTGGGCAGAGTACCAGGAATAAGTAGATGGTATGTCTTGGTGTTGGGTAGTGACAGCCAAGGAAGAGAACTAACAGACTGGTGAGATGCAGCTCTTTCAAATAAAACCCCACTACTTCAAGGGTGGCCTTCACACCTAGGCAGTAGTTCACAATAAAAACACAACAAAAATTTGTACTGTACCTAACAGGAGAGAAAAATGCTCCCCAAACCAACATTTCTTAAAGAAGCATAGCCCTGGAGCTTTGGTTAACATTCCATCACAGGACAGGTTCTCAGTTTGAGGCTTCAAGGTCCTCAACCCATCCCTTATCACCTATATCAGTTCTGCAGCTGGAGGGAGAGCAGGTCTCTCAGTCCCATAAAGAGCTCCAAGGACAGCATGGTGTATAGCAAGCACTTGACATGTTGGCACCCTCTGCAAGCTGCATCCAAGGAAAGGGTCCATCAAGAAACTCCTGCTTGAGTAAAAATATCGTGTTATTGTAACTAAGGCAGCTGACCACCAAGTCAATATCTGCTTTGCATGTCCCATGACCAATTCAGGAATGACTGCTGATTGACTGAGACTTGACACTCCTAACAGCCAATACTGAATAGAGGGCAGGAATATGGGAGCAGTTGGTATGTCCCATTTTCAACTCAACCCAAAACCCTAAAGGCAGTGTCTCCATGTTCTAGTTCAAGGGACCAAAGCAGTTTTAAGAAGCAGGATGGCACACAAACATGGACCCACTTAAGGACCAAGTAAAAAGAGAAGAAAGCAAATGTCTGGGATTTGTTGGGGTTGCCCAGGTGAAGCACATCCCTGAGGCAAGTGACACTGGGATATAAACATATATTTGTTTCAACAAATGTTGACAATATAAACAAAATAATGTGGGGGCCGAGGGCTGTCTTATTAAAGGTAAGACCCCATACATCCCCCACCATCTGACAGAAGTGTCATCACAAAGAGCAAGAACCAGAAACATTTTGGAATCCTTGAAAATAGGTCTCATGAGTCCATAATGAACTTGCAGGCTATGTATCTGCCCTGTGGACATATTTCTTGACATGAAGCCCACAGGCTCCAGCAGCCCAGTTCCTGGGTCAGTCCCTGAGCCACATGAACAAGTCAGGCAGACTGGGGGCTGGAGTCAACTCCCAAGGCCCTAGAGGATCTGGCATGTGCTCCCCAAGTTGTAATTGTGTGGCTCAGTATATTATAACTGTTTGAAGCAGATGAGGCAGTGGGCTTTAACATCCAAATGCCTAACCTTGCAGCTGCATCACAAAGGTACATTCCTTTTGTATCCTTGGCTAATTACCACTCCCATGAAACTATATTATAAAAATAGGCTTTTTAAAAGGTTTTGTGTACAAACTCTCTACCACCTCATTGTTTGAAGGAGTATGCTTTGTGGACAGAATTCCCTGCAGATAAGTACATCTAAAGACACTTTAGAATGAAACGTCATGCTCCAAAATGCACTGAGCTCCTGGAGACAAAATGCCCAGGAATGCCTATTTCCCCCTTCACATCTTCCTGTAGTGAGCAGTAACTAAGTGAAAAGTTATTGCCCCAATGCTAGGCAGCCTGGGGTCAGAAAGAGGCAGGGTGACTCACCTCTACGCTTTCCAGAGACGCAGAGCATTGGATCTGGCTTCTCACAGTGGACTTGGCTTGCTGTTCTGATAAAAATTTGGTTCTGGTTGCAGAGTTGCATGGTTCAGGTAGGGTCCTACGGCCATACCACTTAGAGCTGCTCACATAATTTGGTGGGACAGCATGGGAAGCAGCTGGGGGGAAAAATGGGAAGCTTGTGGGGACAGGCCTTTAAAACAGCTTCTGGGCTCACACATGCCACTGAGATACCCTTTAAGAAGGTGTAGGTTCAGCCCTGGCTGGTGTGGCTCAGTGATTGAGTGCCAACCTGAGAATCAGAAGGTCGCTGGTTCAATGCCCAGTCAGAGCACATGCCTGGGCTGTGGGCCACATCCCCCATGTGGGGCATGCAAGAGACAACCACACATTGATGTTTCTCTCCCTCTCTTTCTCCCTCCTTCCCCTCTCAAAAAATAAATAAATAAAATATTTAAAAATATATTTAAGAAGGTGTAGATTCAGACACAAAGCCTATTTTTCACTGATGAATGTACTTTTATGCCAGAGAAACAACTGCAAAAACACAGGGAACAGTTAACAGCAATTATCCTGTTCCCTGGGGTGAGGACAGAGAATGCCAGGCAGGGAGATAGGACTCTCCACTCTAAACTACATGCTGTTTAAATTTTTTCAAGCATATTTTGCTCGTGTTTAGGTAATAAGAAAACTAATACAAAATCTAGTTTTTTATGCAAAGAATAAAAACACTCCAATAATCCAGCAACATACCACTCTAGAGACAAGAAGGTCCCTTTCTACCCCACTCACTCTAGGACCCCAAGGGACTGGACACACACCTCAAATGCAGCTGTGTAGGCTCAGGCTCCCCATAGATCTAAAGTCTTAGGTACAAACAGGTATGGACTTCAGTTTTGGGATTTGTGAGAATCCTGTATACCTTAATAATCTTGCACTTTCTTCTTCCCACTTTACCTGTCCACATCTGCACAGAGCAGCGGGGATCTCTCAGCCAGAGACAAGAAGACACTGACTCTGCGCAGAATCCTGGGCAGCAGGAAAAAGACAGGGGCGGGCAGCATGGGCAATGGCCAAGACAGGACGTGGGTTCAGAAGGAAGTGACTAGAATGGGCTAATTGGAAAGACATAGGGCCCAGTGAGACCAGGCCAGGCGAGGAAAATGAGGAGCATTTCAGTGCAGATGTGCCTTGAGCCTAATCCCAACATAAGTCACATTCTTTAAGGTTAAAAACACCATATTTCTTTCTGTCATACTCCAAATGCCTAGTCCACAGCCCCTGACCTTGGGACCATCAGAGGAGGAGGCTGGGCCCAAAATAGTTGACCAGAAGAAGGGTGATACCAGTGACAGACAAAAACTAGGGATGTGGGAGGAGTTTCTGGGAGGAAGATGCTCAGTTCCATGTGAGACATACAGAATATGAAGTAAGAGTGTAACATTTAAGGCAGCTGACAAAATGCAGGTTAACTATATAATTTCTCACCCTACTGCGGCACTTTGAGGTCATCCCAGGCATTGTTACTAATCACTTTGGAACAAGACATTGATTGACAGGGTATGTCCCAATAAACTCTCATCATGTGAGAGAGCTCATGGGATGTGCTGAAGAAGTGGGCCAAGTGTCCAAGTCAAGCAGAGGGAAAACAAGTGTCTGTAAGCAAACTCACACATGTTCAGAAGAGGCAAACTACAAACATGAAGAAAGGCTCTCAGTAGCTGAAAGGGTGAATGAGGGACTAATGAATAAAGGATCAATGAAGAAAAACATCTGATTTAGTTTGCCACTTACAGGGAGGCTACGGACTGGTTACTTGGGGAAGAGTCCTCCTCTTTCCACCCTAAATGGTGTTGGGAGAAAGATTTTTGTGTCAAGTAAGAAGTGGAAATCTGTGGCACATGTGGGAAAATGAGGTGCATAAAACTCAGCAGGGAGCTTTGGCATGCCCTCCTAAGCCATCAGAACCCTGCCGAAGCAGAGTCCTAGCCATTTCCTGGGCTCATCCAACTTGTTGGCACACCTGGAGATCATGCAACCAGCCCACGTTTCTGATCTGTAGGCTTGATTTTCCTTCCTTCCATTTCCCCTCCTTATTTGAGTCCTAGTCCATGTCTGCAATTCTATCCTGTCCTTGATGCTGGCCCCACTTCTTCACAGTTGCCAGCAAGTCAGAAGTTTCCTGAGAGTAATGAGCCACTGATAAAAACACATGCCTTTTTCATATATTCGCTAGTGTTCTCAAACACACACATACAGGACTTCTGGTCAAGATGAAGGCATAGGTAGACACACCGTGTCTCTTTGAACAGCCAAAAAAAGAACAATGACAAATTTAAAAACAAAAAAACAACCAGAACTGACAGAAAATCAAACTGTATGGAAGGCCGACAACTAAGGAGTTAAAAAAGAAAAATTAATTTAGATTGGCAGGAGGAGTGGAGACAGGCAGCTGGGCAGAGAGTGGTTGGAGGACCGAGGTGAGCAAGGCTGCAGCTGGTGAGCAAGGCGGTGGCTAGAGGACCCAGGGAGGCAGCAGATTTCGAACCAAATGGTCCCACATTTAAGTGCAGATACACCAGGAGAAACAACTGAGAAGCCAGACTGATGGGGCAACCCAGAGTTTCAATGCAAGGTAATAAAGCATCAAACCTCTGATTGAAAACACCTGGGTGGGTTGAGGTAGCAACAGGAGAAATTCCTAGCCTTACAGGAGAGTTTGTTGGAGAGACCCACAGGGTCCTAGAACATACACAAATCCACTCACCCAGGAGTCAGCACCAGAAGGGCCCAGTTTAATTGTGAGTAGTGGGGAAAGTGACTAAAAACTGGCAGAGAGTGGAGCAAGTGGCATTCTTCACTCTTAGACCCATACCCCACATACAGTGCCACAACACAGCAAAGTAGGTTGCACTGCTCAGGTGAATACCTAAGCCTCTGCCCCTTACTATGTTAATAGGCAAACCAAGACAAAAAAAAAAAAAAACACAAAAAACCAGTGGCCCAAATGAAAGAACAGATCAAAACTCCAGAAAAATACAACTAAGTGATGAAGAGATAGCCAACTTATCATATCAGATGCACAGTTCAAAACACTGGTAATCAGGATATTCACAGAATTGGTTGAATATGATCGCAAATTAGATGAAAAAATAAAAGCTATGCCAAGTGAAATAAAGAAAAATGTAAAGGGAACCAACAGTGATGGGAAAAAAACCGGGACTCAAATTAACACTGTGGACCAGAAGGAAGAAATAAACATTCAACCAGAACAGAATGAAGAAACAAGAATTCAAAAAAATGAGGAGAGGCTTAGGACCTCCAGGACATCTTTAAACATTCCAATATCTGCATCATAGGAGTACCAGAAGAAGAAGAGGAAGAGCAAGAAATTGAAAACTTATTTGAACAAATAACGAAGGAGGACTTCCCAATCTGGCAAAGGAAATAGACTTCCAGGAAGTCCAGGAAGCTCAGAGAGTCCCAAAGAAATTGGACCCAAGGAGGAACACGCCAAGGCACATCCTCATTAAGTTACCCAAGATTAAAGATAAAGAGAGAATCCTAAAAGCAGCAAAGGGAGACAGTTACCTACAAAGGAGTTCCCATCAGACTGTGAGCTGATTTCTCAAAAGAAACCTTACAGACAAGAAGGGGCTGGAAAGAAGTATTCCAAATCATGAAAGGCAAGGACCTATATCCAAGATTATTCTATCCAGCAAAGCCTTCACTTAGAGTGAAAGAAGAGATAAAGTGCTTCCCAGATAAGGTCGAGTTAAAGCAGTTCATCACCAAGCCCTTATATGAAATGTTAAAGGGACTTATCTCAGAAAAAGAAGATAAAAAATATAAACAGTAAAATGACAAGAAACTAATAGTTATGAACAACCACACCTAAAAAAAACACCAAAAACAAACTCAGCAAACAACTAGAATAGAACAGTATCACAGAAATGGAGATCACGTGGAGGGTTATCAGTGGAGGAGTGGGGGGTGGGGAAAGGTACAAAGAATTAGTAGCATAAATGATAGATAGAACATAGACAGGGGGAGGTTAAGAATAGTATAAGAAATGTAGAAGCCAAAGAACTTACATATATGACCCATGGACATGAACTAAGAGTGGGGGCATGTGGGCGGGAGGGGGTGTGCAGGGCGGAGGGTAATAAAGGAAAATGGGACAACTGTAATAGCATAATTAATAAAATATATCTTAAAAATAAATCAATTAAAAAGAAAACCACATACACATACACACACACGGTGTCCAAAAACTATACTTCCCTCCCTCAAAAAGGGAGCAATGCTACTCTAGGAAAGTGGCAAGGCAGAGCAGAATAATAAGTGCAGAGGAATAATGGTAAAATGATGAGGCAGCTCAGAGAATCAAAAAAGTCATACCGTCTTGGGGTGGGAAGGATGGTAAGTTGCCCAACCCAGCATATTTCAGTATGGGCACAACCCAGCTCCTTGTCACACACCCCAGAGTGTCCCAAGAGCACAACACATGGCCCCTCATGACCCTGATAGACAGGACAGCACAGCTGCTGACCCAAACCCTAAATACCAGGTTGTATCTTCTTGGTGTACATTTTTATTTATAGAAAAAAGAGTAACACAGTCTAAAAATTAAAATACATTTGGTTATATGTTCAATAACAGCCTTTAATGCAAAGCATAGAATGATGGGGAAGCAGGGATGTCCTTCAAAATCCAAGGGATTTGGTCTCACAATGACATTCTCCTTCCTGGAATATCAAAAGCACATTTTTCTGATTATGGTGGGAGACAATGGGAAGGACTGGCAAACAGATTAGACAGCAGGGAGACAGTGATGCTATGAATGGAGCAATGGGTGGCAAATAAGGCATTGAGAAGACAAATACCTAAACCACATTTGACAGAAAGGGCCTAAGACAGAGAGGTTAAGCCAGGGGTGGAAAGCTGAAATGAACATAATCTTGGAAGGCACCAGGCTCTTTCTGACTGTCATGGAACCCCTGTGGCTTCAGGATCACCAATGCCTGGTCAGCCTTTAAGCAGTGGGCACCGTGGCTCTATAAATGGGTGCTCGGAGATGGACACTGGTATGAGACCCATCTTCCGGCAGAAGAGGGAGGAAATATCTCAGTCAGTGCACACAACCATTTAAATGAGGAAAGCTTTAAAATACAAAAGGAAGTACAAAACAAAACTGTCATTGGTGAGAAAAAGCACAAGTTCTAAAATAGCTTCTTTTTCTAAGTACCTGAGAACATGTCTCACAAATCTATACAATTTTAGGCTTAGAAGCATCATGCATTCTCTAGTATAAAGAGGGGACATGCAGCGTCTGACACTGGGCACTTGTCTTTTAGGCACATTCTTAGCCACAGTCACACAATCACATTCCCAAATCCTGTGAGTTAGGAAAGGCAAGTGGTCTTCTTCACATCTTACAGAAGAAAAGTGTGAAAAAAAGCATCCAGTGAACACCATAGGGTCTTCTTCTCCTATTTCAGGGCTCTTTGCACTGTACTCAGGTGTCTTTGAAACCAGCAAGAGGAGGTAGGAAGGTGGCTGACCATGAGCACCCAGCAGAAGGAGCTGGTTCTGGCAACAGTGCATACAGAAGGACCTGGGACTTAAAGCTGGACAACCCACTTAAATAGTGGCCATCATTTATTGGCTGTGGGATCTTGGACAAATCCATTCATACCTTAGGCCTCAGCTTCCTAATCTGAATAATGGGTATGATAATGGGTACCATATCTAATAATTCATAGAATATCTATAACGGGTAAATGAAACCTATATGAAATATGCAGGGAGCTCAAAGCCTAACACACACAGAAGATATTCAATATTCTTAATCCACTTTGCTTCACTGCTGTAGGCCCCACACACGGTCACCCTGGCATCCAAATGTCACACACCTGCTGTGACCATTGATCCACCAGAGCTCCCTTCTTGATATTCTGATCAATATCATCACTTCCATCCTCAGACACACAGCCATATCGGAGGGAAATAAAGTCCCACTACCATTCCACTCACCCCAATACACACCTAAGGGAGTCAAACTCAGCCTTGGCAGGTCATGTGACTGCCACTCACAGCCTGAGGCCCAATGGAGCATCTTCTGACTCTTATCCAGCAACCTACATTCACCTGAGCTGACCTCCCTTCAAAATGCTCTCTCCACCTCCTGACTACTACCAAAGCCAAGTGGCTTTCCTCTTCAGGATGCTACTTCCACTTACAAATGTTATCTTTGTCCAACCAGTCCCATTTCAGTAATAAGAGTCTAATAAGTTTTATTAGCACAGCACAACACTATTGTCTGAGAAAAAGGATACACTGAGGTCTGTCCTGGGCTGCTGGCATCCTACCTGTTCTGCCAACCTCAGAAATCTAGAAACACCTTACACTATACTATAAATTCTTAAAATCTTCAACTCCTCCACATCCATTTTATCGTATCAACACCTTATTCTGTAAAGACAGCACATAGTATTATTTGATGCTTGTGATACTGTGAACTTATAGTAAGTACATATTTGGTCTTCATTCTATCCCTAGCACAGAGCTCTGATACCCTTGGAATTTTCAAATAAGAGCAATTACCCCTGAGTTTATGTCAATGAGGTGAATTCTCCAAAGCACCAAAAGATGGGGCTGGTTGCCAAGGGAACAAACCATATGATGAGAGGGTTGGAAATTTTGGCCCCACCCCCTGACCCCGAGAGAAGGGCCAAAGGCTGGAGCTTGAGTTTAATCACTAATAGCCAATGACTTGATAAGTCATTTTTATGAAGGCTTCATGTAATGAAACCTTCATAAAAATCCAAAAGGATGGGGTTTGGAGAACTTTTGAATACTGGGGAGAGTGGTGCACCTGGAGAGGGACCAGAAGCTCTGTGCCCATTCCCCATGCCTTGCCTTCTGCATCTCTTTCATCTGGCTTCTCCTTAGTTATATACTTTTATAATAAATCAGTGATCTAGTAAATAAAATGTTACTCTGAGTTCTTTGAGCTGCTGTATGCTGTAGCAAATTAATCAAACCTGAGGAGAGTATAGTGGGAACCTCTGACTCATAGCTTTTGAGCAGGAGCACAGGGGGCAACCTGAACTTGCAACCAGCTTCTGAAGTGAAGGACTAATGGGATTGAGTCATTAACCTACAAAATCAGACACTATCTCCAAGTAGATCATGTCAGAATTGATTTGAATTACAGAGCACCAAGATGGTGTCAGAGAATTGCTGGTATGGAAAAAACTACCATACATCTGGTGACCAGAGTACTATTAGTTTTCAGAGTATCATGTGCAGTATAAAGAAAAAAAATGGGGTTTTTACCTTATGACACTATTTTACAAATAAGGAAACAGAAGAAAAAATAGAAATGCTTTGTCCCAGTTGTCACAGCTTGGCAGTGATAGAGTGGGGTTAGAATTTAATCTCAGACCTACTAGGTTCTTCAATCAGAATATTATATTCCTAAATGTAACAAATAATGAAAATAAACTAAAGGTGAAAGGAGGATATTGTCTTACCTGATTCCAATGAGCTACTGTCTTCATCTGAGGAGCCAACACCAGCAACTGATGATAACACTGCCACAAAACCTTCCTTAAAATCCTCAAAGTTAACCTTGTTGAATTTAAGAAGAGAGGTCAAAGTTACTTTCAAGAGAAGGTATACATAATCCATCATCCTTTTGTTTTTCTCTCCTTAGATGAAAACATTTTACTGTTACCATTTGCACTGAGAACATTCAATTCATTTTTTTTCAAAAATTACCTTAATTTTTTTAAAAAGGAGGAGTTCTAAGATGGTAGTCACATAGAAAAATAAGAACTCACACCCTCCCAAGAGGGCACTGATATACAGAGTACCTATATATAGAGAGTAATTACTCCTAAGAGACAACTTGGGACTGAGTGAACAGCCTGTAAACAATAGAGGAGAGAAAGAAGGCTAGGAAAACATGGGAGACTCCCATTCTGCAGAAATTCTCTGGGAGTGAAGGTGCCAGTGAGCACCATTGTTTATATTCCTTTCCACCTCCATTGAGCAGTTGGGGGCTCTATCCAAGAGTTCTGGTCTACCTGCAATATTGCCACAGTGCATTCCCAGCCACACCACCCAGAGTACATTTTGGCTCCAAACAAAGGAAGCAAGCAGGATCAACAGGACATTCCTACACGAATCTGACCTACATTCCTAGATATATTACAGCTTGGTAGGCCAGTGCATCGAATGCCATAGGCACCTGCTTGGCTTCAAATGGCCTCTCAAAAATACCCAGCACACACAGTCTATGAGGCTGCTTCTACACAAGGTCACTTTGCCAAGACTGGGAGACAGAGATATTTTATATAATTCATGTAAACAAAGAAAGAACAGTGAGCAAAATGACAAGAACACTCTCACATGAAGGAAAAAAATTACCAAAGAAAAACCTAAATAAAACAAAGATAAGTAGTTAACCTGATAAAAAATATTAAAAGAAACAGTCATAAGGATGCTTACTAAACTTGAGAATGGAATAGAGGGACTTAGATCTTCAACAAAGAGTTAGAAAATATAGTAAATAACCAAGCAATGCTAAAGAATATATTGATGCACTAAAAAGAAATTAAGAGCAGTTTAGCTAACACAGAAGAAAAGATCAGCAACCCTGAAGACAGACTAGTCGAAAACAACCAATTACAACAGGAGAAAAAATTAATTGAGGATGGTTTAAGAGGCCTCTAAAACAACACCAAGCACACTAACATTCCCATTATATATGTCCCAGAAGAAGAACAAAGTCATGAAGAAAAGAAAACTTTGTTGGAAGAAATAATGCCTGAAAATTTTGTTAACTTGTGAAAGGAAACAGACATATAGGACCAGGAAACACGGAAAGTTCCACTGAAGATGAACCCAAAGAGAACAAGAAATATTGTAACTAAAATGGAAAAAAAAAAAAGCTAAAGAGACAATCCTGAAGGTAGCAAAAGGAAAAAAACTAGTTACATACAAATGAAACCTGCTAAAGATATCGGCTAATTTCTCAGCAGCAACTTTACAAGGTCAGAAGAGAGTGGCAGAACAGTTTTAAAGTGTTGAAAGAAAGAAACATACAATGTAAAATAATATACACAGAAATGTTATCAATCAGAATTTAAGGAAAGAAAAGAGTTTCCTGGACAAGCAGAAAATAAGAGTCACCTTTAAACAAGCTTTACAAGAAATGCTAAAGGTCTTCCATAAACAAAAAAGGAAAACCTATAACTAGAAGTCAAAAAATATGATAAGAAAACTCAACAGGAAAAGGCAAATATTTATATTTAACGAATACAGTGAAATTAAAAAACAAAGTGTACAGGGGGGAGTAGAAATGTAGTCCTTTTAAAATAGAGTCAAACTTAAATGACTATCAGCTTGAAATAGATTGCGATAGATATAAAAACTAATGGTAACAAAAAAACAGAAACCTACAAAGGACATACACAAAGAACAAAAAGAAAGGCACCCAAACAAATGCTAAAGAAAACAAGCAGGCCACAAGGAATGGGATCAAGAGAAAGAAACAAGGGAGAACTACAACAACCATCAAAAAAGAACAAAATAAAAATAGGTGTATATTTTCCAATAATTATTTTAAATGAAAATAGATTAAATTCTCCAATAAAAAGACACAGATAGGATGGCTGGACAGATTAAAATACATGGTCCATCTACATGCTGCTAAAGAAACTCACTTCAAATTGAAAGATTCATACAGGCAGGGAGAGAGAAAGTTATTCCATGAACATAGAAATGAAAAGAAAGCTGAAATAGCAATACTCCTATAGACAAACCATATTAAAAAAAGAATGTAAAAAATACAAAGAAGGACATTGATAATGAGAAAGGGTACACACAAGAACAGGTATCATAATTGTAAATAAGTATGCACCAAACATAAGAGCACTTAAATATATAAAGCAAATAATAAAGAACATAAAGGGAGAAATTCACAGTAATTCATAAAATTCATAAAAGTAGGGAATTTTAATGTCTTAATCACATGAATGGATAGATCATCCAGGCAGAAAATTAATAAGGAAATAGTGGTCTTAAATGTCACAGCAGTCCAGATTAACTTAATAGACAATTGTAGAACATCTCATGTCAAAATGACAAAATACACACTTTTTCATATGCTCATGGAATACCTTCCAAGGCAGATCCCATTAGGTCAAAAAACAAGCCTCAATAAACTCAACAAAATGGGTATCATATGAAGCATATTTTCCAACTACAATGTCATGAACTAGAAATCAACTATAGCAGAAAACAGATAAAACACAAATACACACAGACTAAACAACATGCTACTAAAGGACCAGTGGGTCAAGGAGGATATCAAACAGGAAGTGAAAAGCAACCATGAGGGACCCAAGGTGGGAACAGAATAGATGGAAGCTACATTCAAATGCTCGCAAGACCAAACTGGAATTACAACTAAAATATAGAGCAATCAAATCAAATAACCAGCTGAACACGAGTTGCACACACTCGATAGCCAGCTTCAGGCAATATCTGAGCAGGATCCAATTAGCTTCACAAGCAGCATATCCAAACAGAGATCTCAGCGGACACCATAACCTGCTGAAACAAATAATGCTATGTGTGGTCAGCATTGACAAAAAACTTAAAAACAGTGGTAGAGATGATTTTCACAGTCAGCCAGTCTGAGGGTTGACCCTATTTGGGTTGACTCAAGATACAAATGGGCCAATGACAATCAAGACTCAATTACAACTGTAAGGCCAACATAACCCACAAAAGGGTCATTCCTGGATTACCCAGAGCAGATGATCAAGGTGACTGTGACAAGGGGTTTAAAAGAACACCTACTTCATAAAGCTATACTACAAAGACTGGGAGCCATAGGAGACCTAAATAATACATAGAAAAAAAAAAACACAAAGAGACAGCCAATGGGGACACAAAGAAACATGCCCCAAATGAAAGAATAGGAGAAATATCCAGAAAAAAAACTAAAATTATGGCAAACAATTTACTAGATACAAAGTTCCAATGATTATAAGGATGCTCAAGGAACTTAGAACTGTAAGAAACTTAGTGAAAAGTACAAGGAACATAGTAGTTCTACAACATGAAAAAAGACAGAAACCATTAAAAAAGACCCAGTCAGAAATGAGGATTACATATCTGAAGTGAAGAATACACCAGAATAAGAGGACTTCCGCCAAGATGGAGGCGTAGGTGGAAACACTATACCTGCTCGAACAACAAAGTTTTAGCAACAAAAATGCAGCCAAACCACAGAAAATTGAACTATATGGAAGTCCGACAACAACAAACCCTTCAGCCAAACCTGTATGAGGGGCGGAGGCAGCAGCAGAGCGGGGTCGAGCAAGAAAGATCCACTGGGCCTACCCGGGCACACAACCCAGGCACACAGGCAGCCGTGGGCAGATTCTAGGTGTGGAGTAGCAGCGGGCGGATCCACTGAGGGCTGGCCGCGGTCACATATTCACAGGTAGATAAACCGGTGAAGGAACAAGCAGTGAGACGGACCATGCAAGCCCGAGCCCTGGAAGCAGCAGAGGGGAGGGCTATTGCCCCACTCTGACCCCGCCCCCACATACAGCGTCACAAACCAGCGACTAAGTTGCCCCGCCCTGGTGAATACCTAAGGCTCCCCTCCTCAGACGTAACAGGTGGGAACAGACTAAACATGGCTCAAGAAGAACTCAAAGCTCCAGAGCCAATGACTCTAAGCGATGAAGAAATAGCCAAACTTTCAGATGCATAGTTCAAAACACTGGTGACCAGGATGCTCACAGAATTGGTTGATTTTAGTCACAAATTAGAGGAACAAATTAAGGATAAACTAATTGAAATGAAGGAAAATGCACAGGAAACCAATAGTAATAGAAAGGAAACTGGGACTCAAATCAAGGGAGTGAACCAGAAGGAAGAAAAAAATCACCAAACAGAAAAGGATGAAGAAACAAGAATTCAAAAAAATGAGGAGAGGCTTAGGAACCCCCAGGACATCTTTAAATGTTCCAACATTCGAATTATAGGGTGTTGAATTAGAAGGGGAAGAGAAACAGCCACCAGTGGATAACTTATTTGAACAAATAATACAGGAGAACTTCCCCAATCTGGCAAAGGAAATAGACTTCCAGGAAATCCAGGAAGCTCAGAGAGTCCCAAAGAAGTTGGACCCAAGAAGGAACACACCAAGGCACATCATCATTACATTAGCCAAGATTAAAATGAAGGAGAGAATCCTAGAAGCAGCAAGAGATTAAGGGGACAGTCACCTACAAAGGTGTTCCCATCAGACTGTCAGCGGATTTCTCAAAAGAGACCTTACAAGCAAGAAGGGGCTGGAAAGTATTCCAACTCATGAAATCCAAAGACCTACATCCAAGATTGCTCTATTCAGCAAAGCTTTCATTTAGAATGGAAGGGCAGATAAAGTGCTTCTCAGATAAGGTCAAATTCAAGGAGTTCATCATCACCAAGCCCTTATTATATGAAATGTTAAAGGGACTTACCTAAGAAAAACAAGATAAAAAAGATGAACAGTGAAAGGACAGCAAACTCACAGTTATTATCAACCACACCTAAAACAAAAG